GCAGGACTGGAGCAAGTCAGTTCCGCGTCCTTAGGGCCCTGGGCTGGGGCCCGTGAGTGAGGGTGGGCCCGGGCCCTCCCATCAGTGGGGAAATTACACTGACGCTCAGGCAGAAGCAAAGCGCCTGAACGTGCAGCGGAGAGCCGAGACCCCGCAGGAGAGCGGGGTACCAGGACACCGGGAGGTGCCGCGCAAACCCCGGGGAAACCCCCGAGTATTCCGGGGCCCCACGGGTACACATGGTGGAGAATGTGGGCACTGTGAGGAGGGATCCCCCGCCCCTGGTAAGGAGGGGCGAAAGCGCCGCTTAGGGGAGCAAACTTACGAAAAATTTGTTTCAGTAGAAGCCGAAAGCGGGGGGGAGCCGCGAGGCCCGCCGCCTCCGGGAAAGGGACCGCGAGATGGATCCCGTCCAGGTGTTGGAGTGGATGAAGGCCACCCACAGGGAAAGTCAGCAGCAGCAGAATGCGCTGATCCAGCAGTTGTCCACACAACACCAAGAGCAGCAACGGCAGTTGATAAAAGAGCTGGCGGAGCAATTTAGGGAGCAGGCCCAGCTGTCGATGACCCAGAGGCCAGCCACGACTACCGAGGAGGGATCCCCCGCCCCTGGTAAGGAGGGGCGAAAGCGCCGCTTAGGGGAGCAAACTTACGAAAAATTTGTTTCAGTAGAAGCCGAAAGCGGGGGGGAGCCGCGAGGCCCGCCGCCTCCGGGAAAGGGACCGCGAGATGGATCCCGTCCAGGTGTTGGAGTGGATGAAGGCCACCCACAGGGAAAGTCAGCAGCAGCAGAATGCGCTGATCCAGCAGTTGTCCACACAACACCAAGAGCAGCAACGGCAGTTGATAAAAGAGCTGGCGGAGCAATTTAGGGAGCAGGCCCAGCTGTCGATGACCCAGAGGCCAGCCACGACTACCCAGGAGGAGGACCTCGATGAGAACGGGGAGGCTGGACCACGCCCGAGCATTCGGCTGACAAAAATGGGGGCCACCGATGATCCGGAGGCCTATTTGACGACGTTCAAGCGAGTGGCCACCACCACTAGGTGACCAGAGACTCACTGGGCCACCATTTTGGCTCCTTATCTTACGGGACAGGCCCAGCTGGCATACCGGAGCTTAAGCGACAGAGACGCGCTACACTACTACAAGCTGAAGGAAGCCATTTTGGACCAGATGGGCATTACTCCCGAAACGTATCGGCAAAAGTTTAGGGGCGAACAATACACCCAAGGGACCCGGCCCAGGGTCATAGCCCAGCGATTAAGAGAGTCCGCGTGGAGATGGCTGGACCCCGAACAACGCACCAGGCAACAAGTGGCCGAGCTCGTGGTTCTGGAACAGTTCATCAATATACTGCCTAGCGGGGGCTCCCACTGGGTACGACGACACCACCCCTCCACGCTAAGCGAAGCGGTCGAACTAATGAACGACTACGAAGCCGCAGAGGGGTGGGAAAGAAGCCACAGGCCAGAGCGGC